GCACACGGATACCGAAATCACTAAATCCGTCAAATCGTCGGGCTCGGGCCTTAGTCCTACTGCGACTCCTACTCGAGTGATCGCGAGCCCATCACTATGTCCATGAAGAGGGAAGAGTCTAGACTAAATGGGAGCCACAAAAGTCTTCTCACTCCCATACCCCTTGAGAGGATAGCAACTTAATTGGCACAAGCAAAGGTCTCTACAATTAGAAATGTAGGCTGGATGCACGGCTTACCTCAAACAGTTCGCCGACCCCATTTTTTTCGATGAACTTCTCTTTTCTCTCTCACTCTTTTTGATGTTAGCAAGATTTTGTTTGAAAAAACGAATTCAAGAATAAAAATTAAACACTTACATTTGGATGTCTCTACTGGGGCAGTGATCGGTTCGTCAATACTGTTTCTTCGGTTTCTCTTTATCGGTCTCGACCACATTGCTGTTAATGTCTCGATTATCCATATCGTTCTCTTCGATGTTCTGATTCTCCAGATCTTCTTCTCTCGTTTCTTCTTTACGTCTCTTGGAAGATTTGCCAGAAGACTTTCGGCCTCATCTTTTTCTTTGATGTTTTGATTTTCCAAATCTTCTTCTCTTTTTTCTTTGTGTCTCTTGGAGGATTTGCCAGAAGACTTCCGCCCTTCATCTTTTTCTTTCGATCTGCTGCGGTGATGGCCACTGTCCGTACCATTCGTTGTTTCCTCTTCCTTTTTCTTCTTTTCTTTCGTTTTCTCCTTGGGATCCTGTAGAAGAACACTCAAATTTTATTACACATCTCATCAATACAAGGTCAAGTCACCAACAGCAACCACGTGTTTCAAGCTCCCCGTAGCCCATTAGAGACACATTGGGGGGAGGGGGGAAGGGGGCGGCGTAATTTCTTGATAGTGCGAACCAAAACCAGAATCTGAATGGTGGTCGACCTAGCGGTGGAGAAAAACCAGATGAAAAGGTCGATAAACTCTAAATGAGCTCCTTCCCTTTTCGCAGTTGATCGAGGGCCCTGAGAGAGAGTATCCAGCGGTGAAGGCCATGGGGTGGGAGGCGAGGGGACACTGCGAGAGACAGACTGGTAAGAGGGAACATTGCAAAGATGAAAGGCAAAAAACTCAAGTGCAGCACCACGCAGCCATTGCGGAGGACACGGCCAATATGTGCCAAGTAGGGTAACTCTCCCGCAAGGCTAGTTCATGCTATGTCTGTCACCTGCACCCTCTCAAAGAGCTCAGGCGTTCTCACAGGCTCGTCTAGATTCAGAACATGACGCGGCTTGACCCACTCACTACTTTGCTTTGCAGAGACAGCATGACGCGACTTTGTCACGTCAAACACGTCACATGGTTGAACCTAGGGAGAGGCTGACCCTTGCGAGGCACATAGCGCCCGTAATAAAACCCTTCCGACTTCGAATAGAGTTGCAATGATGGTGTCTCCCTCAATTTTTGTTTTTTTTTCTCACTTGAAGGAACAGGATTTCTACATCAACGAGTGTGGACCTACCTTCGTCTTTGAAGGCTTCTTCAACTTCTCGTCCTTCGTCTCGTCTTTCTTTTCTTTTTCTTTCTTTTCCTTGGGCTCTTCTTTCTTCTTCTCTTTCCCTTTGCTTTCTGATCGGTGCTTAGATCTTCCTGACTTCTCCTTTGATTCTTCAACTGAAGAGGAACGACGTTTCTTGGTTTGATTGTGTTCGCTTTGAAACTCCCTTGCTTGCTCTGCCAACTTTATCAAAAGCTGAAAAAACTAATATTCATGTTGAACTTGGTAAGTCTCGAAATTCGAACCAGATCCCACCCACGCCTACTAAGCCTTCCACCCTCCGGGACGGTAAATTGGTAAGACATTCATCTGGGAGCCTAGAAACACTGATTTGTAGATCGTCCCTTCTCGAAGGTCATTGCATAAGCCATATCGCTACTATAGTATCAAGCTACTGCGGTGTTGGATGAATTAATATGCATGCCACATCCCAAAAGAGGATTGGATCGCGGCAAAGCCATGATTGTCCCTTCCTGAACGCCTACCCCCCCCCTTCTCGAGATTCTTCTAATTCCCAAGTTACAGTCCTAACCAAGCTCAATGATGCGAGACTCAACGTATATGGAAATTGCCGAACACATCAGAACAACTTATGTTGCGCGATCACCTTCCAGCACTGCCGCCAGCTGCGTTGCCCAGACTACCTGATCCTCCCCCCGAAAGAGACATCAGTATGATTATTGCACCTACGCCAACGAATTGCAGGATTCTGGTTGGAGATAAGGTTTTAGAAACCCTCTTTTTCTGTCAATGGGCCCGTGCGGAATACCTCTAAGCGCACTACTCAATATCAGAAAATTTCAAGCGGTCAGCTTGTTTTTGTGCAATCCCGCTAATCTTGCAGCCCGTTTCCTGCCTCAAGCTAGCCATTAATCTAAATACAATATCCAGGCTGCCGTCGATAAGAACGCCCAATGTAAAAAAAACAAGTCGCTGGCGTGCTCCCTTGCGTATGTTTACACGATGTCCTACTTGTTCACTTATTGCTTTAACTTTTTTGATGCTATGGGAGTAGAAGGGTACGGCACGTGTTGGTGCGGCCTTTTCCACTCATTTGCGAGTAGTCATTTCCTCATCCTGTAGGCTCAGTCATTTTCTCTCACTCTAGGCTTTACCTCATAGATTACAGACCAGCGTCGCTGCGGGTCTAGTCTCGCCACCTGCCTCCACCCCAGCGGCAGCCCCAACTCTCTCTCAACACCTTTTTCTGTTGGTTGGCTTATTTTTCTTTAGTATGTCATGCATATTGTTGCCGTAACTACACTGGACTGTAGCCGAGTTCGCAATGAAACCCTTCAATTGACGATGAGACTACCGCTGATGGTATGTCTAAGCGGCAGATTGGGACGCACTTACTCGATCGCGCGCATGCTGAGAAAATGGCGCCCACAGTTCGGCTGCGCGCGGGCGACGGGACTATACTGTACTGAGCAAAGCTTGTACAGACCACCTTGAAAAGACCTGTAAATTTCTGATGAAGGGACTCCATTATGCCCTGCAGCTTCATAGATGTTCATAGGTCTAAATCCCACGGCTGAAGATGCAGTGGATCGGAGCAAGTGAAGACGTCTAACAAGAACAGCGGACCCTGCCATGGAACGGGAATAACACTAAGGACAGAGTAACCTGTGAAATTACAGAACTTAACAAAAGGAAGCAGCGGGAGTGCAAAATGGCCCTCCCAAGCCGTACAGCGCCAGAAACACAATACGTCCAGACTTTCATTAACGGATACAACTCTACAAACACCCATTCATACCCCATCTATATATAATTCACTATGTCTCTCTGTTTGTCTGTCCAGGAATTCACAGCACCCGTGGCAAAACAATAGATCGTTGTTTCCATTAAGTGCTATAGGAACTGGGACGGGAACAATATTGGTGGGTGACGAGAAGTGACAAACTAATGAGTGACAGCGTAGGTATGAAACAGTAGACCGCTCCAGCGACAGGGTATGCATGTACAGGACACGTCTTGCCGATGGATGGGGAATATTTTGCAAAATGCGACCCCTTCCCCCCCCCCACCTCAATCTGCAAATTTCCCCCTCTGACACAACAGTCCCTGCCTCCAGCAACCAAATACGCCTCCCACGCTGACGATCCCCAGTGACGTGTGTCCTCTGCATGTGTCAGCAGGACGCCCTAGCAAAGAGGATGCCAGCAGCAGTATTTTACCAGGTAATTTGGCGGGTAATTTGAAGGGTTCCTCAATATTCGGCATGATTGACGGGGTTTTTTTCTGATCTCAGTCAAAGAAAAGTATGGACGAAAGGAGAGGTTTTGTCAGTATTCTTAGAACCTGAAGCGCCATGACCAGTGCACTTCATTTCTTTATATAATGCAGGCGGAATAGATATCCAAACTGTTCAATAAATGTTGAAAAGTTGAATTACCATATTCGTCAGTTCCGGTTCCTTTCCAGCAACTATTTTTGAAGATTTTATCGTGGCCAGCGAGCCATCATTGACAGCTTCAATAAGCGTGTCAAGGAACGCGGTTTTGTCAGTTTTCTCTTTGAATTTCGCAGGATTCAGAGCTTCCACAGGAAATCGGTCCTTGAAAAAAAATTCAGTTTATGATTTTGCACAAACAAATTGATTCTGCTCCCAACTCACTCTCAAGAAACCCGTTTTTGCTGCTGTCGACGACACAATGTCTAGAATAAATCTGAATGGAGGGCGAGCAAGAAGTTCATCAGTGAGTACAGGCTTATCGATCAGACCTGCGAATGCAGCTCGAGTTTCTTTAGTATTCGCCATACTGATACCAGTATTCTGCAAGAAGTATATTATTCTTTAGATACGAAACAACAAAAATGAGCGGCGAGTTTTTGCGACAGACAAAAAAAATGCTGCTTCTCTGGAGAAAGGGTGCTGGCCGGAGATTCACTGTTTGGGACCAGCTTTCCAAGTTGTGTTTGAGACATTGCACAAAGACCTAAATGATTTGGGAAAGGTACAGTACATTGAACTAATAAGCTAGGAATTATTAGCTAGTTGGTGCGTGTCGCAACCTGGACCTCCCATCCAGCCGTCAAAGCCAGGACACCTGGAACAAAACGCTTGCAACAACTCTAAACTTCTTGTGTTTCACAGCCGCACAGTGATGAGCACCAATGAATTCCAAGGGGGAAAATCGAGATCCAGGGCATTTATGCGAATGCAGCGGCTCAGCGAATCGTTCGAAGCCATTCTCATGACGATGTCGATCCACTGGGTTAGACACATGGTTGGATGCTTATGCTTAGATTCTTGTCTCTCGTCTCTTATCGTAACTACTCCTTGTGGATATGATCGTTAGAAGCGTTTCGTAATACTTGAATTGGAAGTTCCTAACGTACTTAAAGGCACAGTCCGCGATAAATGGTGTTAGGACATTCAGGAGGAGTTGTCAAGTGACTCGTCTGTGGAGAAAAAAAATGCCAAGGGAACGTCGGAAACGCCTTTGGTAGGGCCCTCCAGCCTCAGCCAATGCAAAAGCAAGTCAAAAAACCGCGTCTTGGGACGAACCCAGTGGGTTGATTCCTTGCAATGAGCCCTCAAGAGACAATGGAGCATCCATTTCACGATACTTATCCGCAGCACCGCTTTTAGCCTGGAGGCCGGACCGTGAGAGGAGTCTGGGGCGGAGCCAGTAAAAAATGGCACTGATGCAAATTTACACTATAGCCTTCTTTACCTGCACATTTCGACCCGAGGAGCTGGCGCGAGGTTGTACTTTGTGGACCACTCTATCTTTCCAACTATCTATTGCATCTTCATAGGTCATCGCTCACCGTTCCTTTACTTTTGCGTGCGTACTTCACCCGTATCGGAGTGCTGAGGTCAGTTCACCCGTCTTCCCGGGGCTCCATTCCAACAGGGTGAACATTTTGATGCGGAACAATTACACTTGATAACGTCGCAATCGGTCGTGGTGGTTTGATTGGGATGGAATGAGCGCATTCGTGACGCTTTCACCAGTTTCTCCCTGAATCGAGCCTTGCCTGATCACTATTGGTAGAACAAAACAGCCGGAGACAGGCTCAATCCGCCCCTCCGGACACCGCCCCGCCTGGTTGCGGCAATACAACTAGACTCCTTATTCCAGAGTAGGCCAGGCATCTGAACATCGCACGGAATGGGTTACTCGTGGAATATTCCAGTCTGGGACAACTGTCATCTTGTTCTATGTTGGACAGAGACACGACCACAATTGTGTCAAGATGAAATATCTCACCAGAAGCACAGCCACCTTAGGTTCAGTTGAAGCAAGCAGCCACGCCCACCCTATCTCAGGGATTTTGAGTATATAGGCTATCGAAACCATGATAAAGATCGAGAAAATTAAGGCCTAAGCCGTCGGAGCTAGGTCTAGTTGTGGAGCGGGAATAGCGAGATTCCATTCAGAAGCGTATGATGGCTCGTTTGAAACCCTCATAGATTTTACGTGATTGCTTATGCTCCTTCAAGTGGGTTACGGTAGGGAAATCCCAAGATCTGGGTGCTTCAGCAAACGCTTCACGCTTTCAAACGCGAATAAATGACCGTCCATTTGTGAGGTCAAGGCTCGGTGTGGTGGCAAAAGGAGCCGCGGTGCGGGAGACAAATTCTGGATCGGCTTTCTCCTGGCTCAGCCCTACACGGCGAGTAACACTAACATGTACATCGGCTGGCCCCGCAAGTTATTCAGTAGGCCATACCGCACTCGTAGTCCCACTACGACTTTTAATGGAATAGCAGCTTTCCGACGAGAAATAAATAAGCGTCTCTCATGGGTAATTGAATCGGTTCCCATGAGAGAGCCAGCCGAGATTAGCATATGAAAAAAAATTCAATTAAGGACAAAATTCATTTCAGAGGACTGCG